GGCCCCCCCGGGAGGACGAGGAGGGCGTTTGGGTCTGGAGGAGGAGGAGGAGGAGGAGGAGGAGGAGGAGGAGGAGGAGGATCGTGGAGGAGGAGGAGGAGGAGGAGGAGGGGGAGGAGGGCGCGTGGGTCACGGACCCTGGGCCCCCCTTTCCCCTCTCTTCGCTGCTCCTCCGCGTTCTCCCCCCCCTCACCTTCTGCCTCCGAGCTTCTCCCTCCCACTCCTTCGCCCACTCTCTCTCTCTTTTGTCCCTCTCTCTCTCTCTCTCTTTCTCTCTTTCTCCCTCGCTCTCTCTCTCTATCTCTCTCTCTCTCTCTCTCCCTCTCTCTGTTTCTCTCTCTCTCTCTTTCTCTCTTTTTTTTTTTCTCTCTCTCTCTCTCTCTCTCTCTCTCTTTATCCCATTGCATTCGCCCATATGCAATATCGCGCTACGCTGGAAGGATCGGTCAACCAGCAATTGACACTCTGACGAAAAGCGAGACAACATCGAAGTACCATCTTGCGCAGTGCAAGCCGGATCGGCCAAGCAGCAATTGGCACTCTCAGGACACGCTATACAAACGCAAGTGCCACTTTGCGCATTGCAAGCAGGATCGACAATCAAGCAACTCACACTCATGCGAATGATGGCGCGCACTTGCAAATAATCAACACTCTGCCGCGCCATTGGGACTCGCGGAATTCCAAGAAATGGTTTGGCCGCCTAGTTCAATTCTCGCGTGGCAAAAGGGTTTCGATCGCGTTCGGCAAAATGGCCCCGATGCCGACTGCGCACTCCACGTTGCCATCGACGCACGCGGCGCGCGTTCGAAGATGAGCCAGAGCGAACATGGTGACCGCGGGCGACGCATTGGGGCGCGCTGGTTGCAACGCCGCCACGCTCGCTACAGGGAGTATTCCCGAGTCTGCCTCTGCGTGCCTCTGCGGCGATTAGCTACCGGCCCCCACAAAGTTGCGTGGCCTCTTCCACAGAGCACGACGCAATTCAAGATTGTATGCATACAGGAGGACCATCATCACTGCGGCGTCTAGCGCGAGCCACGCCATCGACTCGAAAGCCTTTGTCTCGAACCCGTTGTCAGTCGTTGTGCGCGAGCATCCGCGGCGTTGTGCAGCGTCCGAATCTGCCCGACATGGACTTCCCCAATGGGCGAAGCCACACCGCGCAGGAGACCCATGTAGCAAGGCGCAAATTCTCCCCTGAAGATTCCGAAGGGCTGGGAAGCCGCGCATTCGGACATGTGGGCCGTTCGCCCCCCCGCTCCTCGGAGCCGCGTGCTGTCGGGGGGCGCCTGCCTTTCGATCGCATCGGCGCCGCTGTCGCTGCGCGTTTGGTCTGTTAGGACGCAACTACTGGGAGGTCTTCGTCGGAAGGATTAAAGAAAATTAGCCCCAAGCCCATTGGGGGGCTGTTACGCCGGAGTGGGCCTCGGATAAAGCCGGATTAAGCGGGATCAAGCGGGATTAAGCCGGATTGAGCGGGATTAAGCGGGATTAAGCGGGATTTCAGACCAGGGTAAAATCAGAATTTGACCACCCAAGATTTACATTCGAAGGTCTGGTTGAACCGGCCCTTTGGTAAGGCGGCCCGGCGTGCAGCTGCCGCAGCGGGAACGTTGTGCACAACTCCATGCGCGCGGGGCCCCGCGCAAGAAAATGTTTCGCGCAGGCACCATCCACCGATTGGCAGCATGTTGAGGCGCTGCGGGGGAGACGGAAGAGAGGCGACAAGCCAAACCAGCCAGACCAGCCAGATAGGCGAACTAGCTGGACCAGCCAAGTCACCCAGGGCACCCAAGCCAGCCGCGCCAACCAGATCTACCAGACCATCCAGACATGCAAGACGACTTCGCATCACTCCCTGGCGGGAGGTCTGAGCCAATATTTTACTTAACGCACGAAGTAGAAGATTTGATTAACCAGGGTTGGTTGTAATCGGTGAAGATATCCTTTCCTCTGCTTCATCTTACTTCCTCCACTCCAGAACCCACACAAAATCCCCCCGAAATTCCAACCCGGAGTCCGAATCCGATTTCCACCCAGAAAACGCACCCAAAATCTTCTAAAACATCACACCCGCAATCATGTTAAGCATCGCACCGCAAATCCCACTCATAATTCTTTCTATTCAGAATCCCACCCAAAATCTTACCCAGAAAATCGCACCCAGACCCCCACCCAGAATCCCACACAAAATCCTCTCCAGAATCCTACCCGAAATCGGGCCCAACATCCGATCCAAAATCCTACTCTGAATCCGGACCTGATTTCTTTCCACAGTAGCAAAAACAATCCCACACACAGAATCCGACCCAGAATCTGACCAAGAATCTGGCCCAGAATCCGATCTCCGATCCAGAGTCCTGGCCAAAATCATACCCAAAATCCTAACCAGAATCCTAATCTGAATTCTACCCAACCTCCCACCCAGAACCTCTTTCCAACGTCATGCCCAAAAATCCGATCCAATGTCTTATTCCGGGACCTACATGGTCATTTGAACTGCCGCCCCAGCGGCCACTCCAATCACTACTTCGGCGAAAATAATGCGGCGACTTCTTTACTCTAGTTTTGGCATCGCCTTCAAGTTTCCCGCTCCAGTCAAGAAAGCAGTCAAGCACCCAGTTGGATAGCTGAGATATGTCCACATGCGAGAATGCGCCTGCGGGGAAACCGAAATCTCGGTTAACACAGAAACGTGAAACTTGACAGTTGGTTGACCTGTAACAAACTGCAACTTCTGCGTGCTAACTTGGCAGCCCGTGTCTGCCAGGATGTGATGTGCTTCCCCAGTATGTAGAAGACCACGCTCAAGGCTCCCATGCGTCACAAATAACGCTAGTTAGACTATCATTTAATCACCAAGAAGCAGTTGTGGTAGCTTTGCTAGCATGTATGGGTTTGAGCCACTCATGAGGGGCAACGGAAGGTAGAAGAGACGGATACGGATGAAAGGGAGAGATTGATGAATCGGCCTCTCTGTTAGCAGCGGCCGTGGTGATAGCCCACGAGGACCAAACACGAATCCTCATTATTCGTTCCTCTCCTCCTGTTCCCTCCTGCATGTAAACGTCGCTTTCTCTGTCTGTCTGTTTCTCTCTCTCTCTCTCTCTCTCTTCCTCGCTCTATCTGCCGTGAGCAATGCTGCCCCCCGCGCGCCAAACGAAGCCTACCAGAGATAAGGAGGAGGAGGATGAGGAGGAGGAGAACGAGGAGGATGAGAACGAGAAGAGCAACTTTCTTCGGCATTCTGCCGCAAACAAGAGCCTTGTGGAAGCCGCCACACACGGAATCCTTTTGACATCCGCCACGAAGAATATCTTCCAGTCTTAGCTGCCCCGATACGCAACACGCAACACGTAGCGTATTGATACGGAGCTCAACACATATGCTGAAAACGTAGGTCCGACGCGATACATTCGCCAAAACGTGGCCCAATACGTGGAGCCAACACGCAACGTATTGACACGGACGTCTTGAACACGGGACGTATTGCGTTTCAAAACGGGCGTATCGAGGCAACTAAGCTTCCAGTACTCCGCCACAAAAGGAATCCTTTTTGCACTCCGCCACAGGAAGAATCCTCTTGTAATGCGCCATAGAGGTAATATTGTTGTAGTCCGCCACAAAAAGCTTCCTTCGCATCCACCCACAAAAGGAACCCGTTGTACTCCTACACGAAAGCAACCTTTTCTGTACCGCGCAACAGAAGGAATCCCTCGGCAATCTGGTAGAAAACGAATCCGATTGAAATCTGTTGTAGCACTGAAAGACCTGTGTTTTGTTCTAGTCGTTGAAATATGTTCTGGTAAAGATGTTTCGCCTGTGCCTGCCACCGGCGTTTTCGAAAAAAAACGCCCAAGTACAACGCCTTGAAGATGGCTCAAAAGCGCCCCCCGCGCCCACAATTGCGATGTTAATGGAGCAGGCCGCGGTCTGCAAATGTGGGCATCTCTTTCGAAACGGCTCGCACTCACCCGCGTCGACCGCCCCGAACTTTGAAATTTGGGCCGGGGGGTTGGACCCGCTCCAACACGCATTCGAGATGGGCGTTTTTCCGAAAACCACGGTATCATTGTGTTTTCAATGATTCCCAAAGATGGCAACCTGACGATCAATAGTTGGAAACTAATGTCAAAAGCTATACTAGCTGCGCGTGCCCATGAATATCAGTACTGTTGATCAACGGTTGAAAATCGTTGCAGGCACAAGCGAAACGAATCTCTGTTGATTCCAAACGCCGAACAAGCTGTGTCTTTCAGTCATTCAATGAATTTCAATAAGCTTCTTTTTTTACCAACTTGCAAAAGAATTCTTTTGTGGCGGAATACAAAAGGATTTCTTGCATTGCGGAATATATAATAATTTATGTTAGAAGGATTCCTCTTCTGACAGAATGCAAATGGATCTTTCTGTCGCGGAATACGAAAGGATTCCTTTTGTGGCGGATTCTATCGGTACTCCTTCTGTGGCGGAATCCAATCAGGTTCCTGTTGTGGTCGAGTACAACAGGGTCTCTTTTTTGGCGGAATATTCAAAAATCCAAATAAGCCGTCTCCCATGACGCAAGGACGACAACCCACCCCACAAGGAATGCAACAAGCTTCGTTGGAGAGCACTCAGGTTCAGAATTGACTGCACCGCAAGTATTGCACCAAGCAGAGTGCACTCCAAACACTGCACACCGGTACTGCAACGACCCAGTGCTTGGGGTCGAGGTTAGTAAACATACTTGCTTCTCAAGCATATTACGAGTAACCAAGGGGTGAAGAAGGAGGAGAGGGAGGAAGGCAAACTGGAGACTTAGAGAAGGAATCTGATGCACAGTAAAGGAAGAGCATGAGGAGCAAAAGACCCAAGGATCAGAAGAAGCATGATGAGGAGCAGGAGCGGGTGAAGAAGGAGGGTGAGGAAGAGGAGGGCGCGGCGGAAACGGGCAGGGGGACGGGAGGAGGCGAGAGGGATGACCCCCGCTCTCCCAGGCCAGGCACTCCGAGAGCCTCCATGTCGTGCAGCACCTGCACGGACGGGTTCTGGTCGAGCATCAGCTGCATCTCCACACCGATGCAAACGGTGTTCACTAGCCGCCGCCAGCCCGCTATACGGGCCGGCCGCTCCGGCGAGCCCTCGCACCTAGCCCCGGGGCACCGCCGGGCCCGGGGTCCGGCTGGCGCGAGGCCTGGCGGCAAGCCTCGGCACTGAGCTGGAAGCCTGAGCACGGGCATTCGGTCGACAAGCAGCGCAGAGCCAGTCGCCACGAGTGCTCGATCCCCCCCCATCATGGCGCATCGGGGGGTGGGCAGAGGGAGGAGGAATAGGAGGCGGGGGAGGAGGAGGAGGAGGAGGAGGAGGAGGAAGAAGAAGAGGAGGAGGAAGAGGAGGAGGATGGGGAGGAGGAGAAAGAGGGGGAGGAGGAGAAATGGGGGGGGAGGAGCAGGACAACGACAGCGACGACAAGGACAAGGAGGAGGTCGAAGGTAGAACCGAGGGTGGTGGGGGGCGGGGAGAGTCCTTTTTCGAATTCCTCGGGCTCCTCGTAGTCCTCCCCCTCCTCCTTGCCTGCTCCTCCTCCTCCCTCCTTCCCTGCTCCTCCTCCTGCTCCTCCTGCTCCTCCTCCTCCCTCCTCCTCCTTGCCTGCTCCTCGAATTCCTCCCCCTCCCCCTCCTCCTCCTTGCCTGCCCTGGTCCTGGGGTCGGTGCTTTCTGGCATGGTTTGTGTGCGTGCGGTCGCCGCGAGATTTGGTGAATATAAAACTCTGGCCGCCTGCTGGTGTGGGGTTTGCCGCACCGCTGGATGAGCCGATGGGCCACCTGGCGACAGTCGGGGTAGTGGGCGATCCAGGTATTCCTGCTGCCGCACATGTCTGTCTATCGGATCTGGCCGTTCCCTGGGAATCTTTCCTGTCAGATGTCAGCAGCCCAACAGGTTGTGTGGAGTGATGGGCTTCTGGGGCCTCAGGGATACCTCCGTTCTGGGTGCCGTGGGGCGCTCGAGCCCCCCGTGTGCTGAGCAGCGCCACGGTTGTGCACTCGAGGGGCTCAAGCGAACTAACTCAACTTCGAATGTGGCACAGTTCTGCTCGTGCTCCTGGCGAGCCCGCTGCCGCCTTCCTCCTCCTCCTCCTCCTCCTCCTCCTCCTCCTCCTCCTCCACCTCCTCGTTCTCCTCCTCCTCCTCCTCCTCCTCCTCCTCCTCCTCCTCCTCCTCCTCTTCCCTCGAGGTTGCGGACGGGCTCCTCCTGTCGCGGAGCGGATCCCTCGCCCCCGCTACAGCTCGACCCAGCAGCAGCGCATCGCTGGGAAGGGCGCGGGGGGTGTAAAACGGGGCCGCGCCACAACCAAAAAGGGATACCGACGGACGGGGACGACACAAGATACCAGGGGGACGACACGGGATACCAGGGGGGCGACCCGCGGGAGGAGGGATGCCGACGGAAGGGGACGACACGGAAGGACACAGCAACAGGAGAAGGACGAGCGAAAGAGGCGAGGAGGAGAAGGAGGGCAACAGGCACGAGGAGAAGGAGGAGGAGAAGGAGGAGAAGGAGGAGAAGAGGAGACGAGCGTACCCTTGGAGGAGGAAGAGGAGGAGGAGGAGGAGGAAGAGGAGGAGGAGGAGCGGGCGAGAGAGGTCCCAGCAAACGAGTGAACCCTCCAAGCGCCCCCCGCCCCCTCGCTGTAGTGGCGGGCACATTCCTCAATGCTGACCTGGACGGGTCCCAAGATGGCGGCTCATTGGGGGAAGGCGCTGGAGCGGGCAACCGGAGCGCTGAGGCCTCGTAAGACAGTCCTGTGCCCATCGCCGCGTGGTGCCCCTGCGCCACTGGCTCCCGCTCCCCTCCGTCCCCCACCCCCCACCCCGCGGCGCCCGTTCCACGGGCGGCGCGCGGGCGGAGCGTCGGGCGAGCGCGCCCGCCTCTCCCATCTGTGCGGGGGGCGCGCCGCGCTGCGGCGTTGGAACACGAGGCGTTGAAGAAGCGAGCGCGGAGTAGTGAAGGGAGACCGCTGTAAGCGAGTCGCACCCTTGCTTGTGCAGTCGCACGCGGACGTGCGCGACCCCTATCCCACATCGTGGGATTGTCTACCCAGCGGCGTTCGCGGTGCAAGCTGTCGCGTCCGTGGACTGGGCTCGAGCATCCGGGAGTGGATTTAGTTCCGATCTCCTTCCCCTCCCTCTGATGCGCCTCAAGTTTGCTCCAGCCACCCCCCGGCCCCGCGCTGGGGCGGCGGCTGTGCTCGGGGTTGGCTGGCCTCGGCGCGCGGGCCGTGGCGATTGCTGGCTACGACGAGGTATCGGGCAAAAACGGCGCGAATGAAAACGGGGAGAGGCGGGAAAATCTAAAGTGAAGATTCAAGGAGGTGGGGGCACGAGAAATAAACAGAACGCGAGCAACAGATTACGTGACTACTGAACTTTCTGTGGTCGCGCGAATTTCTTGCGACGTACCCGGCGGTGCCACACATCGCTCGCGGATGTGGAAGCCAACGTTTGCGCCGGCCAC